ACCACAAACACGTTAAGTTCCCTCAGTCAGCCTCAAGTCCCCTGAGCCCAGTCAAGCCACATTATGATTTACAATGATAAAAATCAGTTTCTGGTTTAACCCACAAGCGTTAGGTGATCTGCTTAAGAACAAGGTTTAGGTGCTTAGAACTAGGCAATAAATTCCCTGACACAGGGGACACTGGCCTGGGACCGAGAGGCAGGTGCATTGTTTTGTGCGGCCCCAGATCCCTCATGTAGCGGAGACTGCTGTTGAGTGCCTGACCCTCCGGCCTCTCCCTAACATCTGAGACCCCAGGCATAAGCCCTCCAGTGCTTGGCTTCTGATGCTCATTTTATTTATTGTAGTTTTACAGTTTTTGAAGCGGTTCCATGTGTCCTAGGCTGGTCTCATCTTGTATGTGCTATGTAGCCAACGGTGATCTCCAAGTCCCCGTCATCTTGCATCCACTGATGACATGTTGGGACTTCGCTGTTTGCTACCATGTTAGCCTACCACACTGATTTAAAGTGCTCAGATGCCCCCAGTCTGAGAGCTTTCAGTCACTCCAAGAACTATAAGCCCCACATGTACGTCTCCAGTCCAGACTTCTCTTATACTACACACAGTTATCGAAAAGATTCTCCAATTTCTAGATCAAGCCTGAAGTCCTTACTCTTCAACCCAAGTCGCTCCACTCAGTGTCCCCAACATTGTCCTCGATGGCCTTTGAAGTCACGTGGCCTTTCTTCTCGTCTCCGACTGCACCTCCTTCTATCTGTTCTCAAACCTCAATCACGTAACCCAGTCCATCCCAGAGTCCAGCCTCTCCCCGGGTCCAGGCCACTTGCTCTGAGTCATATGTAGTCGGCTATCTCCTGGATTATTTTAAGAGCATCCCAAATGCTCGGCTTACCCTCTTTTCTAATAATAGCAGCGAGAAGGGGAGGCTTAAGCTGTGGCTCGGTTAACTCGGTTGGCAGAGCACCAGCTTGGCAGACGAGCAGCCCAGGGTTTGATCCGCAGCACCACAGAGCAGCTGTGCTGGTGCGAGCCTGCGATTCTAACACCAGAGACGGAGCCGAAGACTCCAAGGTCACTCCCCGCTGCATAGTGAGTTTGAGGCTAACAAGGATGACACAAGATCACTTCAAACCAACAATAAGACATCGAAAACCATGCTTGGTGGGCGGTGGCACTACGCACGGTTCCATTTCAGGATAGGAAAAGCTTCATGTTAACACCGTGTGTGGCTATAAAGAAATAACGCAGAGGAGATGGAGAGGTGGCCCAGAGGCTAAGGATGCTTAGTGCTCTTCCAGAGGCCCCTGGTTCGATTCCCAGCACCTATGTCAGGCAGCTTTACAACACCTCTAACTCCAGATCCAGGGGAATCTATGCCCTCTCCTAGCTTCCGTGGGTATCTGCATGTATGTGGTACACATAAGCTGACACAGGCACATAAGTAAGTAGGTATTTGAAAATAAGAAGGGAGCCTTCTAGATCTAGCAGTACTAACAGCCTGTCGGTCTGTATGAAGCCTCTGTGAGCACTTTTCTTTTGAGCCTGGCTCACTCAGCCTCCTCGACCCTGTCAAGCACAAGGTGTTTTGTAACATTTGAGCCTCTCTTAGCTCTTCTTACAGTTTTCCCACAGGCTATGAGAAGTCAAGTAGTCAGCCTGGGCTACATAGTGAGTCTCAGTCCAGCTTGTGCTATAGAGTAAAACTCTGTCTCAAAAACAAACAAAAAGAAACCATTATATTGGGCTGGCATTGAGGCTGAAGCTCCTCCCAGAATGCACTGCTTTTTACTTCTTTGGGCATTCTAAACTATTTGTATTTGTGAGTACACTGTTGCTGTCTTCAGACACCGGAAGAGGGCATCAGATCCCATTGCAGATGGTTGTGAGCCACCATGTGGTTGCCGGGAATTGAACTCAGGACCTCTGGAAGAGCAGTCAGTGCTCTTAACAACTGAGCAATCTCTCCAGCCCCTGAACTATTCTGAATACAGACCATTCTGAATGATCCCGCCACGCAGCAGGAGTGGTGATAACACAAAGCAAAGGCAGAAGTCCTAGATTCAGAGCTCAGTTTCATGACACCAGCTCCTAACTCTAGCTGTTGAGGATTAAATGAGTTACTACTACACCTAAGAATGATTTGCACACTGAACATATTCAAGAAATGCAAATCACTAACCATCTGTCCCAGACGAGTTCCTACTGCCTAACACTGGCTCACACAATGCTGTGTTCATGTTTCCACAATGAGGAAAGACTTTTGAAGGGGCTAGAGATGGGTCAGCACATGCTCGTCTTACAGAGAACCTCGGTGCAGTACCTAGTTCTCAGCGCACACACAAACTGTCATTTCAGTTCTAGGGGACTCAACGCCCTCCTCTGGCTTCCATGTGCACTGCACACGTGGTGCAGGCAGTACACATATATGTAATATAAAAACAAATACATCTTTTTAAAAACTTAGGCCACGCCTAGGTAGCATTAGAGGCCCAACTGAAACAGCTGGCAATTCACTATTCAATGCGCCAAGCGCAAAGCAAACCAGATAACACACTAAGGGTTCATAGGGCGTTCTAGGGGCCAGGGACGTTGTGTGCTTGCCTAGCGTGCATGTGTCCTGAGCTGGGCCTTCAGCACTGCCTGGAAGACAGAAGAAAAGAGGCATTGTGCCCAACCCCTGTCATTACCCATTCAGCAGTGACTCAGAAAATGAGCATGATGTCATTTCTGTTCTTTTTCTCAAGGACTTCTTTCCTTCTGCTGAGACGATACAAGTTCTCCTTTTTGGACAATCTTCCTTTTTTTTTTAATTTTTTTTGTTTTATGTATATGAGTAAGGTGTTGCTGACACACCACAAAGGGACATCAGCTCCCATTACGGATGGTTGTGAGCTACCATGTGGTTGCTGGGAATTGAACTCAGGACCTCTGGAAGAGCAGTCAGTGCTCTTAACCACTGAGCCATCTCTCCAGCCTGACAATCTTCCTTCTAATCCAGACCTACTATTGAAATATTTTGGATCCTATCACCTCTAATTAGCAGACTGGAGACAAACAATAAATTTCCATGAAACAGCTATTCTAAGAATCTAAGAATAAAAATTCCAAACCATGCCCCTAGGAGCAAGGAGATTGGCTGCATCCTTGCCCCAATTCCTTTCTAAAGACCACTCTTGAAACCCTTCAATTCAGAAAATTCCACAGGAAGCAGCACTTGTACATTGATGGGACAGAAACAGCACCTCCTAGGGGCAGAGAGGAGATTAGCAACCCACCACTGTGAAACCAGTCATCTTTAGGCATGTTTCTTTTTCTTTCTTTTTTTTTTTTTTTTCTTTGGCCCCCCCCCCCCGAGACAGGGTTTCTCTGTGTAGTCCTAGCTGTCCTGGAACTCACTCTGTAGACCAAGCTGGCCTCGAACTCAGAAATCCACCTGCCTCTGCCTCCCAAGTGCTGGGGTTAAAGGCGTGCGCCACCACCGCCCGGCTTTAGGCATGTTTCTAATTAACTAACGTAATTAACTTCATAGGCTTGTGGGTGACAAGCTTGTGAAACAGAAACTGAACAGAATCACCTGAATGGTGGGATCATTGGTAATTTCCTTTTTTAAATATGTATCGTATAACTATGATTAATTTTTTTTTAAAAAGATACTGGGATCAATCCCAGCACTCAGGAAGGAGAGACACCGGATCCCTTTGAGTTCAAGGCCAGCCTGGTCTACAGAGCTAGTTCTAGGACAGCTAGGGCTACATAGAGAAACCATATCTTCAAACAAACAAATAAATAATTAAGAAAAAAAAACAAGATCCTGAGGATTGCCCCAGAACTTCTCATATGCTAGGCAGATGTTCCTACTGACTGAGCTACATCCTACCCCAGACGTCTATTTGGGGCTGAGGGGGCAGGGGATGGTGAGTTCAGTGTGCTCAAGGGAACACATTATAGTAACGGATGCCACGAGCCATGTACTTTCCAGGGGACAACAGGCAAGGAACCGAATCTCTCTGCAGTCTGTATCCTGACCTACTGAAGACAGAGCCATCAAAACCAAGCAGAGAAACACCAGTACTGTCTCGTCTGAAGCTGGCACTATAGACAAGGGCTTTTGCACAGTGCCTGGCACACAGGAAGTTCCACCTAACTGCTTCCTGTAGCTGGTGTTATTATTGCCTGTGCTGGTATAAACCATCTTGCAAACTGGAGCGGTAATGAAGTGGGTGGGACCTGAGGAGGAGTGGTGGGCGCTGAGATCTCTGGGGTAACATCAAGAGCCAGGGGAGAGCAGAGGACACAGCCGAGGCCAGGAGTGAATTGAGAAGCAAGCGCTACATCAATGATGTGGCTGACGAGGATGGGAAAGCTTTACGTGTGTACGTATGTATGGTGCCAGTGTGCTACGGGCATGTGTAAGGGACAGAGGATAACTTACAGGAGTCCATGCTCTTGTCCGGCAAGTGGATCCCAGGGATCAAACTAAGGTCACCAGGGCTGGCAGCAAGCCCCTTTATCCCCTGAACCATCTCAATGGCCCACTGTGCTTTGTTTTAAGGTAGGCTATTTTTTAATTGGCTCCGGAAAGAACATTTCTTCGCGAGCACTTGGCTCGTTTACCTTGTTCCTTAAATTGTATGTATATAAATGCTTTGTGTGTACGTACGTGCATCATGTGTGTGCCCAGCGCCTGCCCGTGGGAGCCAGATGTCTAGTCCCCTGGAACTAGACATGTAAGCTGTGGGTGTTGGGAACTGAACTAGGGTCCCTCTCTGCTCTTGTAACTAACTACTGAGCAATCTCGTTGGCCCCGTAATATATTTTTTTAAAGACAAGATCTTGTTGTGTATCTCAGGTGAACCTGGAACTCTCTGTGTAGACCAGGCTGACCTCAAACTCAGATCCACCTGCCTTTTCTTGGAAGTTCTGTGGTTAAGGGTGTACGAAACCATGCCAGCCTGTCCCCAGCCATTTCTTTCCACAAAAAGACGACTCACAGAAGGTTTCTTCCGAATGGGCATCACCGTTTATTGTCGTTTGTGTTGGGAACTGAACAGAGCACAGACTGTGGAGAAGAGGAGAAAGGAAAAGAGGAGAAAGGATGTTTCTGAAGATTTCTTTAAAACACTTTATGGTTTAAAATCCTTTTTCACCCCAAAGGAAATTCAAAAATTCAAGTATGTTGCGAAGGGAGCGGTAATACAGAGAGGGCTTCTGCTCGCGTGCGCCGATGTGGTGGTATTTGTCCAGGCATGTAAACAAGCAGACAGATTTCCACATTTCTTGCACCCATTTTTTTTCTTTGTTTTTTGTTTGTTTTTTTGTTTTGCTTTGGTAAAGCCAAACCCCCAAAGGACACAGCATACAAAAGAACCCAGGGCGGAGGAGCTTTTTCGTCCTCAGAGGATAATGGCAGAGGACTGGAACTGTCACATAGGATTTTTTTAAAAAAAAAAAAAACAAAACAACAACAACAACAAAACACAACCCTCGCCTCCCCCAAACCCCGTAAGTCACATGAGTCCTGACCCACTCCAGCCAGCCTGCTGCCGCACTGTTCCTCAGGATCTTAACTGAGGGTTGGTAGAAGGACCAGGCCCACAGGGTTCTCTTCATTTTGTTTATAATAAAAAAAATTTAAAAGGGCTATTTCAAAAGAAAAAAAACTGAAATTCAAATTCTGAAAATATCTTGCCTTTTTTATTAATCATGTCATCTAACACCAATTAAAAAAACAAGTGTGTGAATGTGATATAAAAATACGATCCCAAGATTAACACTTTGTCGCAGGCACAGTAATCTCACAGAATACACGTTTGGAGGGCTGGGAAAGGAGTTCGGTTCTGTTTCTTTAAAAAACCCACAGCAGTGCAAGTAGGGGGAGAGGGGGAGGTTCTTTAGCAGCAAAATGTCCGAGTTCTCTAGACACATCGAAAAACAAAACAAAAGTAAGCTCAGGGGGAAGCTGCCCAGACCCACTAAACACTTCCGCTTGCCACAGCCCGAGGTGGCGACGGGCGAAGGGCGCGCTTTACTACACAAGCCGTCGTAAAACTCGTCCCTCACGCTTTGACTGTTGTCACTTAAATATATGTACAGGAATCCTCTTCTCAGTCTTGTCCCTCTGATCTCCACTGTTTGGTCACGCGGGGTGGGTTCTCAGGATCTGGCCACACGTGGTTACAGGTTGGAGCAGCCGCTTCCAGGCGGATGCTGCTTTAGCCTGGCTGGCTGGCGTGGCGGCTTCCAGCTGAGGAGCACGATGGGGCCTTAGTGGTCACTGCTCTGCTTCTCTCTCATCCATGCCTGAATCTGCTCCTTCAGCTCTGGCACTGAGGGAGAAAAGGCAGGGGATTAACAGCCCAGACAGACAGACAGACAGACTCTCGAGCTTGCAGTTCTAAGTGGAAAGAAAAGGCTGTTTGTTCCTGTGGACGCTGAAGACCGTGGAAGACCAGCCACGGACAGGAAGACATTTACAGCGAAAGGGAGCTGAGTGCTTTGTGTCTTTTCCATAGAAAAAGCTTTAATTGGGTGCTTTCCGGATTCGATGTCCCTTTTACTGGTGGTGGTGCTGGAGACTGAACCTGGGGGCGTATACACTCTAGGCAAGGGTTCTGTGGGTATAGACCTAGCCATCTTTTCTTTTTTGTTTGAAACAGTGTCACAACTAAGTTGCCTGGGCTTGCCATGAACAGGCTATCCCCTTCTGGCTCATCCACCCCAATAGCTGGAATTACAGGCCTCCAGGTGCCAGGTTTGCTCTCAATCTCCCTCATAGTCTAGCTGCACTCACTGGCCCTGACATCAGCTTGGCAAGGCAAGTCGAACCTCCTTACCTGGCTCCAGCATGCTCTCAGTCAGCATCTGGCGGTTGAAGGGGTCAGTGGGGGAGTTGAGCAGATGCCGCAGGATGATAGAACGGTCCATGATGGTACCAGAGGGCAGTCTCACGGGATCGGTCATCAGGGTGTCCATCAGAGGGTCTGTGGAGACAGAAGGGAACACGTGAACACAACGGTGGAGGCTAATCCTGAATTTAAAAAGCAGACGGTTCCTACCAGGAGACACAGACTCAGGAAAACTGTGGAGGAGCAGCCCCTCAAGTCCCTAACAGCTAAGGGAAGCAGCACACGAGGAAGGGGATGAAGGCCTTGCCTTCTGTTGCTGCTGCTGGGAGGAGGTAAGAGTGAAGACGGACAGCCAGGCAGCAGGCTTCCAGAGCAGAACTCTTTGCCTTGGAACCGGACTCCTTCCTTACAATGGCAGAGCTGCCTTTAAAGTCTTCATAGTTTCTGATGAAACCACACTAGGCATGGTCACTGTAGGATGGACACTGTCGCTGTCTGCAGACACACCAGAAGAGGGCGCCAGATCCCATTACAGATGGTCGTCAGTCACCATGTGGGTGCTGGGAATTGAACTCAGGACCTCAGGAAGAGCAGTCAGTGCTCTTAACTGCTGAGCCATCTCTCCAGCCCCAGATGTTCAACATTTTAATCTACAATATTAACTAAATTTGTACACATAATTTTAGACAACTGTCAAGAACCAGGTATAGCACACCATCAAACAATCAAAAACACAGACAGTGGTCGCCCTTGTGGTTTGGATGAGACTGACTCCCTGAGGTTCGCGTGTAGTCTCCAGTTAGCAGATGGGTTTCAAAAGGATTAGGAGGTATGGCCTTGTTGGAACGGGTGTGGCCTTGACAGACAAGATTTGTCACTGGGAGTGGACTTCGAGGTTTCAAACCCCATGGCAAGCCTACTTGCCCCTCTGTGGCAGCCTGCCTCCCTGTGTGAGAAGCAGCATGTAAGCTCTCAGCCCATGTCTGCCTGCCTGTCGTCATGCTCCCTGCTATGCTGACCATGGATTCACCCTCGGAAACTGTAAGCAAGCCTCCATTTAAATGCTTTCTCTTATAAGAATCGCCTTGATCGTGGGATAGCTTCATAGTGACCAAGACAGCACTCTTAATGTCCCACACTCCAAGTGACATCAAAGACGTGTGCACGAGCACTTGGACTTGCCTCTGTACTCGTCTGGGGCATCGCTGTAGTCTATTTCTGCCCGCGCATTCTTTGCCACGATTTCCTCCACTTTCTCTGCAAGAAGCTTAAACTTTTCTATTGCGATGGTTGATTTGATTCCTGCTTTCCGCATCTTTGAAATGACTTCTTCAAACAGTTCCTTGCTGTAGGATCGCTGCAGATGAAGAAAGGTCATGTGAGATGAGAATACAACTGAGAAGAAAACACGTCACAAACGGCCAAGTGAGGTCTGCTTGATCTTTTGCTCCTAACAGCTGTGACCATACACTCCCATCCTCTCCACACACTGTGCCGTGTGCAAGGGTGCACTGGACAGAGTTACAGACGCAGAGACAGAGTCACGTGTGCCAAGCTCATGTATGGAGAAAGCTGTAGGACCTGGGAAAACAGGAAGTTTCTAGGCTTTAGGAGCTAGCAAGCATTTATAAGAAAATTGGCCACTAAAAAGAGAAGGAGCCGGGCAGTGGTGGTGCACACCTGTAATCCCAGCATTTGGGAGGCAGAGGCAGATGGATTTCTGAGTTCAAGTCCAGCCTGGTCTACAGAGTGAGTTCCAGGACAGCCAGGGCTATAAAGAGAAACCCTGTCTCAAAACAAAAACAGAAACAAAAACAAAAAAAAAGGGAAGGAATGAGGTTATTTCAGTTTGTGTCGGGCACTGTGCCCTCGGAGCCCTTGAGACAAAGTAAAGTCTAGTTTTCTTACATAATGTGAGCACAGATGAAAAGCAGGCATAGGCCACTGGCCCATTACTGTTTGTACTTAGTGTGAGCTTCGTTCTAGTGACCGCCTGTTCCCTAGGCTCACCTGAGCTGGGCACGGTGGCCATCACATGTGGACTCCTACCTTCCTAGTGCTCAGGAGGCTAGAAAAGGAGGATGGGAAGTTCAAGCCCAGTGCAGGCTACATGGTGAGGCCATACCTCAACAGATCATACTGACAATCAGAAAGCCCAATCTCCAGGCAAAGGCTGAGCATCGTCACTCACTGCATCCGACACTTCCTAACGGCACACTTCCCACGGCACTGGACCGCTCCTATAAGCAGGTGACTGAGCCTCGTGCAGACATCATTTGCAGGAGTGTCAACAGTGGATAATGAACCCAGACAAATCTGGACACGAATTCAGGCCCCATCACCTCCCAGTCATGCAGTCTTATGCAAATCCCTAACCTACCCAAGCCAGATTCCTCAGGCGAGCCATGGACTGTGAGTTGACTTGGAGGGACCTACTGAGTAACAATCACCAACACCACAAAATACGCAAACATACATGTTTTACAGTGGCCCTTGCTGACTTAGGACACAATACAAATAAAGAGGGGGACTGGGTTCCTTGAGGCCCTGGGACACAACCACAGTCTCTACACCAGGCGACCACAGAACACACACCATCAAGTGAACAAATGTCCATGAGTTTGCTCAAGTGAAGATTCCTCCTGCAAATGCCGTCTTTCCCTCTCTGCATACCAGAGACTCAGTGATGGCACAAGAAGGAGCTGGAGGCCAGGCAACCGAATGCCATCTTCTCCAGATGCTCCCACCCAGTGTACGAGCGATGGGCCAGCTACAATGGCTTGCAGGAGCTTCTGCTTCACTGTGGGGCCTTGTATAAGCCTGCTGCTCATTTGGGACCTTGTGAGCAGGATCCACATTGACACAGACTCTTTCCAGTAGTGGGTTGAAACTCCTTAATATCTCTCTCTCTCCCTCCCTTCCAGGTTGGGACTGAATTCCTGCCTCCCGAGTGCTGTATTCCAAAGCTTCCAATTCTAAATAACCACATAGGCCTGCTTCTTCTGTGTAGCCACCCTTCCCTTCCCTGTCCACACCTGTAACCCCAGCACTGGGGAGGCAGTATCTCTCTAATAGTAAGAAACAACAAGAAGCATCAACGCGTGAACAATTATGCAGTAAAACTGTAAATAGAAAGGCAGTGTATGGTTGTACACACCTGCGATTCTAGCACTTAGGAGGCTGACACTTGGGTTCAGGGCCAGCCTGACTCAAAAAACAAAACAACCCCCCCCACACAACCTCCCCCCAAGGTGGGGGGGGGAAATGTAAGAAAACAGGAGTAGCTCCAACTCTTGTTTTAACATTAGTCCATTGGACTGGCTACAGGCAGCGACCCTGCGAGATGTCTGCGGATGGGGACTTGTGGCGTGAGTCATATGGAGTGTGTCGTGCATGCGAAGACAGAGGCATGGGAACCGACATACCACACGCTCAACATTCAGGCAGAGGGTGAGGATACGGCAGAGTTAGACTGTCAGCCACACAATCTCCCTCAATCCGACCGACACTGCGTGAGCCTGGACATGCCACTCGGCTGCTCTGTGCCCTGCATTCCTTACTTTAGAACAAAGGGTTTAATAGAAACTGTGCCACAGAATTCACAATTATCAAATAAATGGTCAGAAGCGGTACACAGTAAACACGAGCCATTGCTATGCTGAAGATTTGCCCAGATGTCAGGCATGGTGGCACACATCAATGTGTTCAAGAGGAGAGTCTGAGATTAAGAGTTCAAGGCCAGCCTAGTCTACAGGAGACATTATGTTAAAAGACCTGGGAAGAAAACAGAAGCTATCAGAGACTACAGAGGAAAGGAACCCTTTCTTTTTTCTTTGTAGACTCTTTGGCTGGACTAAGGGTTGAGTCTAGGGCTTTGCACATCCAGGTGCTCTACCACTGAGCTAGAGGCCCAGCTTAATTTTGTTCTCAGAGATGGTCTCAGTAAGTCCAGGTTAGCCTTGAACTCGTGACCTTCCTGTTTCCAGCCTGAGTATTTGGGATACAGGTTTGTGCTACCAAGACAGGCAATAAGATTCCCTTCTGTGACATCACAGAAGGAAGGCCTGTACTGAGGCTGTGGAAAAGCATGAGATGACCTGATCCCCAAGGTTCTCAGAAAAAGGAGGGAAGCAGGCATTGGCTGGAATGGAAGGTCATGTATTCATGGCAGCTGGCACGCAGGGCACTTGGGAAGACCTAATTTCCAGAGACACACAAACAGAGTTTAGAAACAATCTATTTGGGGGTCTGAGGGATTAGGGGGCCAGCTCTGCTGTTCTCTCCCAAGGAAGCATCAGTTCATTTCCTGGACCAGATGGGGTCCTCCGCTTCATGGATACTGCATTAACAACTTCTGAAAACAAGACCTTAAAAGTCCTGCTTTTACTGCATTTGAAGTGTGGAGAACTTACACACACACACACACACACACACACACACCCCCCAATGTGGGGTGGGGGGAGGAAAGGCACACACAGGGTCTGCTGTGAAGGTGCAGACCACAGATCCAAACCACACAGCTCAGTGCCAGGCCTCCCCCAGTGCTCACCTGGTCATCAGCGATGGCTTTAGCAAAGCGAGCACAGTCCAGCTGTAAGTAAATATCCGTCAGTTGGTCCAACAGCTTCTTTGGCTCAAAACCATACTTCTCTGGGTTTTCCACCTTCAGGTCCCGGCACTTGGGTCCACAGAGCTGCTGTAGGTTAAAGTTCAGCATGGCTGCTAGTCGGGGACCAAGTTCCTAGGAAATGAAGGATAACAGGACAATTCAAGCTGCTGGGAAAGTTCAGGACCAGAAACTCCCAACTCAGTGGAGGCCTGGGAACTGGCTGTTTAATCTTCAAAGAACCACTGAATTGTGCTGAGCTGCACAAACTAAAGAAAGCAGTGGAATCAAATACTTTTCACCACACTGATCTGACAAGCCCTGTAACGGAGTGGTTCGTGCACACAGATGAACGCCCGAGGAAGTCTTCTGGAATGACGCATTTGCACTTAAAGCGTCACTCCAAAGTCCCAGGGAAGCAGGGAGAGCAAGGAGGCACCTAGCTGTCCTATCACTGCGGCTGTGACACCTCAGTTCCGCATTTCCCCATAAACTTCTCAAGTCCCCGACAGTCAAGCATATGCTGTTCTAATCTACTTGCTGAGGAGACAGAAGACGGTGACATTTGTCAACATCGTACATTACAGGGTGATGGATTAAACAGCCAGAATATGAAGGACAGATAGCCCACAGAATCTGCAGGACAACAGTACCTGCTACAGCTGGGACAGACATGGCTGCTGAGCTCAGAGAGAGCTGCTGTTGACCAGACATTAAATACTGACCACCAAAAAGATTCTTTAAATAATGAGGTCCTCATGAAGTGACTGGGTTCACACAAATCTGACACACACTCAGCACTCCAGAGCTTCCTCTTGTGGAAAGCACAGCTGTAAGTAGTCCAGTGTTGGGAAGCCAGGGGCTGGAAAAGTGCTTAAGCAAGCAAGGAGGACAGAAATGCAGGCTGAAGAGATGGCTAAGCTTTTAAGAACACTTGCTTCTCTTCTAGAGGACACAAGTTTGGTTCCCAGCACCAACATGAGCTAGCTCGTGAGTGTGGATAACTTCAGCTCCAGGAACTCTAATGCCCTCTTCTGACCACCAAAGGCACAGGCAAAAATATTGTATACACTGTCCCCAATGCACCCACACATAAAGACAAAACACCATGTGTAGCCAATTCCAGTCAGATTTTTCTTTTTGTAAATAAAGATTTATTTGAATATGGTCATTCTTTTGTAAATAAAGCCTTACTGGAAAATAGTCAGGCTTGTCTATAATATGTAGTGGCATATTGTCCCCTGAAAGTTGGGAGGAGCTAAGGTGGGAGGAGTAAGGAGAGGAAGAGGAGGAGTAAGGAAAGGAAGAGAAGGAAGAGGAGGAGCTAGGGGAGAGAGGACCAGAGAGAGGGGAACATGGCAGCGGACATGCGCCTGTCTCTAGTAGTCAAAGGTAGTTGATATCTCTAGGTTGGGTATTGGGTTACACCTCTGATTGTGTGGGCATCTTGTTATTAAGCATTACCAAACATATAAAGCCTTTGGATAATTTAAGCAGTAGAGTCTCATTTCTACTGGGTACCACGTGGATGGCGGGATGGTCTAGGCTCAGCCCCCCCATTGTGGAGACAGCGTGGAAGATTGGCAGAGTCATCTCCCACACTGGCGTCTCCTGGGCGGCAGGGCCAGTGTCTCTGGCCGCCTGACCTGGTGGCTTGAGCCAGTGGCCTGAGCTGCAGCAGCAGCAGCAGCAGCAGCAGCAAGAACATGCTGCTCATGACCTTAGGCCTAGCCTAGTTGGGAACATGGCGGCTCCGTAACTACAAGCCAGATTGGATGCCGCTGTTTTTAAATATTACCTTAACAGTCTATGTCCAGGCTGTCACAGGAACACAGCTGAAAAGCTGTCTGAGACACAGTCTCCAACATCTTTAAAGGACTTCTCTCTGGTCTTTGTAGGAAATGCTAGTAAATCCCTTTTGCACATCATTAAGGTGGCAGGACTGTGGACATGAGCTGCTTCCCCCTTCATTCCTTGCTGCTGTGCTTACATCTGATTACCAAGATACAGGAAAAGACCCAGTCTCAGGCTGCAGACAGGCCCCTCTGTGTGACAATGCCTCTGCTGGAGGCAAGGCAGTGACTCATCATAGAGCAAGAGGAAGCATGGGGAACTGGAGGGAGTACACACTAAAGTTCCTGCGCTCCAGGGGAAAGCTGCTGCCCACAGACCTCAGCTCCTTACTAGGGGGTGTCCCAGTTATACAGGTCAGTCTCAACCTGAATAGGACCAGGCCTTGAGTCTTGGCAATCAGGTTGAAACTGTGACTGTCTTTAATCTACTGTGAGCCTCAGTCATGGTTCTCAGGAGCCTCAGGAGCCACTGGCTCTCTCAATGTTGCTACAAAGCTCCTTTATAAAGCAGCAGAGATCTTTTACCTGTTATTCTACTTAATGTCCTCCAAATCCTAATTTGTTACCTTATACTTTCTGATATATAAAACACAGAAATCCCTAACAATGAGATTGTGTCATAAATCCTGACGCAAATGTGCTGAGTAATCAGAAAGAAGACCGCGCTCCTGAAGTGAGCACCTTATAGTGTACGTCAGGGGCTTCTTATACTTATATGGCTTCCTCTCAGTCCCGTGGAGTGTGCATCAATAGATGGAGCGGCTGTGGTGGTTACCACGGACATGTGCTGAGCTGTAAGTTCTGCACACAGCACCCCAGTTTGTACTCACTGGCCTCAGGAACGGCTTCTGGACTTGTTTGGTGAGGAGATGGAACATGTCCACGGTTTCAGTCGCCAGGGCAAGATAAGAACGGGAAACACGCTCATCCTGAGCAAGCTGAGACTGCCGGGCCTGCTGCTGATCCTAGGAAACATCAAACAGTTGCCAAAGAAATCTCAGTACTCACAGCCCTTGGCCAAGTATAAAGGAAAAACATGGTCAGCTTACAGCTGCAGAGAGTGATAGACCAGTGCACTCTGAGACGGAGGTAATGGCCACACCAGCACACGGACTAGACAGCCCACATTTCTTCCTTCCAGGACAGGTCCTCTAGTGGTCTTGGCACCTTTTGGTTACACCCAGTTGGCCCATGCTAAGCACAGGCCACTGACCTACACCCTAGTCCTGGACCATTACTGACCTCTCCTGACCATCAGTGTTATCAATGATAACAGCCACGGTTAGTTCCTGGGAGGATGAATAAGACCAGTGGTTCGCAACCTTCTCAATGCTGTGGCCCTTTAAAACAGCCCCTCATGTGTGGTGACCCCAACCATAACATTATTTTCATTGTTATTTTGTAACTGTAACTTTGCTACTGTTATGAATCATAATGTAAATATTTTTGTAGACAGAGGTTTGTCAAAGGGTTGGGACCTACAGGTTGAGAACCACTGAATTAGACTATCAGAATACCTGTGCACACACTGGAGCTACAGGGAGGGGCTCACTGCCTTTAAAAACAGCTTCACTTAAGTCATCAACATTGAAAAAAAGATGAGACTAGGCCCGGAGACATGGCTCAGTGAGTTAGGAGTACCTGCTGCTCTTGCAAAGGACCCTGGTTTAATTCCCAGCACTTGCATGGTGGCTTACAACCACTTGTAGCTCCAGTTACCAGGGATTTGAAGCCCTCTTCTGGCCTTCCCAGGCACCATGCATGCATGTGGTACACACTTGCACATGCAGGCAAACACTCACACACATACATGCCTTACAGACGGTTACTATCTCCATCAGGCTGCTGCTCCACACAACTCCCAGTCTGTGCTCCACACAGTCCTGCTGCAGACTGGGGAAACATCAGCAGCAGATTGAAGAAGACACCGTGCTCGCCAGCTGAGGTTGGTTTTTTGAGACAGGGTCACATGCAGTACAGGCTGACCACCAATAAGCTACATCCGAAGGAAGGCTTTCCGATCGCCTAACTGCCAGCAAGCCTGAAAGATCTCACGGTCACCACCTCCTCAGCAGTAAGATTACAACTGTGTGCCACTACATCCAGCTTCAGCCCCCACCCCAGGGGAAGGACAAACAGCTGGAATGGCTGCTACGGCCCAGCGAGTACCCTCTGGGCTGATGCTACAATCCGTGCCTGGTGGAGACTCTGCAGGAGGCTGGGGAACCGGCCACTTCTCCAGGGTTAAGAATGAGCCCATTGAGAGGAAGTTCCACCGGGAAGGGCAGAGGACCAGGCAGGCTTCAATGGCCTCAGTGTGAGTCTGAGTGTCTCAGCCTCATCTGGAGATCTTATGTAGGCTTAGTCTGAGGCAAGACAGACAGACAGGGAATATGAAGGGGCCATGGAAAGAGAAAAAAAAGTTGTACTCTGGAATTGGCCTGAAACTGTAACACAACTGATTAAACAAAATTTCCTATAAACACTAGTACTCTGGACAAAAGACATCTCAGAGATGTTAGAACAGCAAACTGTTCTTGCTGAGGGCCGGAGTGTGGGCTGCCTGGAGTCTAACTGTGTTTACAGCTGCTCTCACCCTTACAGCCAAGCAGTGACTCTCAGAAAACACCCGATGATTACACTTACACAATTCTTTTAGGGATGAGAAACAAGCAAACCAGCTCTTGTGTGTGTGTGTGTGTGTGTGTGTGCGCGCGTGCATACGCATACATATGCTGGGAAACAAACCTGAGTCCTCTCTCATCCCTTCATCCATATATTTTATTTAAATTTTAAATATTAACCTTTCTTTATCCCTTGCAAATCACAGCACTGTAATTTAAGCCACAGAAATGCACACACACAGACACACATATGAAATCTCCATTTTGAAAGCATCCAAGACTAAGGGATAGGCTCGAAACTGAAAACAGAAAAACAGCTAAGAGAGCTCCTCTCTCAAAATGCTTGTGCTTAAATCTAAAGGATGTAGATGCGCCCTTTAGCTTAATAACTTCACTAACTTTGCCTCCGGGTGGCTGATCTTGACTTCTTCCCTGCACAGTAGCCGAGGCTCTGGCTCCCCTCCCCCCAGCACAGGTATCTGAGGGGAAAGAAAACACCTCAGGGTGCTGGAGGCTATGCTGAGCTGTATTTCCCCACCTCTATGGTATGTCTTTAGGCATGGGACTGAAACACAGCAATGGCCCAGAGAGACTCCCAACTCTGTTGGAGACTTTGCTTAATAAACTATCACAGCGCCGGGCGGTGGTGGCGCACGCCTTTAATCCCAGCACTTGGGAGGCAGAGGCAGGTGGATTTCTGAGTTCGAGGCCAGCCTGGTCTACGTGAGTTCCAGGACAGCCAGGGCTACACAGAGAAACCCTGTCTCGAAAAACCAAATAAATAAATAAATAATATAAACTATCACAGCCCTTGAGCAGACGCACAGAAGGCTGACAGTGAACTGGGGAGGCTTTGGGGAGAGAAGAGTAAGGTCAAGAACGATGTGGGGGTCAGCAAGCCCCAGGCGGGTTTTCAGTCTGGATAAACAGTGCTGTAGGAAGAAGGGCAGTGCATGCAAAAAGGAACTGGGAAAGGTCAGTGTGGGAGTAGCTAGAGTGGGGAGTAGCTGGAGAGGGAGTAGCTGGAGGGGGAGCAGCTGGAGGGGGGAGTAGCTGGAGGGGAGTAGATAGAGAGGGGACAGGGTGTTAGGAGCTAAGAGCAGAGAAGTGCACACGCCCGCTAGGAAACAGTGAGAAGGCATCCCTCTGCTATGTGCACTGGTAAGGGTGGAGGCTGGGAGGCCAAGAGCCATGCTCCTGCAATAATCCAGACAGCACAGAATGGTGACCTGGAAGTAGAAGGAAGAGGCCACACGCACTCCTCCTGACTTTCCTGCCTCCATACCCCAAGTACTGCCAGTACAGGGTACACAACCACATCCAGCTGATAGGGTGCTAGGGGTTGAACCCAGAGCTTCATGCATGCTGGGCAAGCACTCCAGCACTGAACTAAAGCTTTAGCCCACGGCGCTGAGAGTCTAGATGGGGGTGGGGTAGACTAATAATCATGGGCAACCCAGGGCGCTGGTAGAACGGAGCTGCCATTGATTGAAGTGTGAGTCAGAGAGGAGACCTGGAGGACAATGCGGAAAAGTCAGGACTGAGGCACTTAGGGGACAGCCGAAGCCAAGCAGGCCCTGCTGCTCAGGCAGGCAGCGGGAGCGCTCTCCGCAGACGGCTGTATTTTGCAGTCTTTAAAATACAGATATTTAAAGCCCTGGAAGATGAGATCACCTGGCAGTGACTTCAAGCAGAGGATCAGGGAATGTGCGGGAGTGTTTACTGTGTGAGGAACAGGGGTGGGGGTGGGGGTGAGGATGATGGAGACGGGACAGACTGACACACACACAGGAATGACACACATGGGGACAGACTGACACACAGGAATGACACACATAGCTGGTGTTAAATGAACAGCAGAGATTAGCTTCAGCATCCTGCTAGTGCCCCACTGAGAAATTACCCAGGGGCAGGGTGGGGATACTTAGAAGCAGAGGACTGAGCTTTGGAGTACCATTGCTCTGAGGCTGGGGGATGAGGAAGTGAAAGGCAGCCAGGAACCTTAGGGTCAAGGGTTAAAGAAGAGCTGTTTGTGAACAGACCTTAGAGACAACTTGTGCCTTAAAAAAATCCATTAAGGGAAGAATCAATAGTATTTGTCTCAAGTAAATGCTCTCACGGTGACATAGAGAATGGGCTTCAGGCCCAGAGCCCAACTTCTAAGAGATTAGTTGTTGTGTCTAAACCACACAGGAAGGTTAACAAGTGCGGCAGAGGCAGAGAGAGGCAGAGGCAGAGAGAGAGATGGAACTGCGCGGGGCACTGGCCATCTGACAGTCTGGACAGGAGAGCAGTCCCAACACACTAAGGATGGTTGAAGACTTTAGAAATGAACCCAGGGACACGGGAGAGAGACAGTGGGAGAAACACAGGATCCAGTGGAAAACTTCCATTATTTCAACAGCAGCAGAGGCAAGGGCTGTGGGGTCATGGCTACAGGGAGAGCTCATGGAGCCCCAGGCAGAGTGCTAAGGAAGGAGCAAGCTGTGAAATTCTTACCACAGCAGCCGTGATGAAAACCTCCCTAGACCGAGCAATGGCCACACACCTTAATTCTAGCAGTCAGAAGGCAGAGGCAAGTGGAGCTCTGAGTTCCAGGGGAATCAGCGTCACACTGGGGTGAGACTCTGCCTTAAGAAAAAGTTCCCTAAATGTTGAGTGTCCTACAGTGAAGACTTTTTTTTTTTTAAAAGATTTATTTTTCTATGTATATGAGTACACTATAGCTATCTTCAGACACATCAGAAGAGGTGCTGGATCCCATTACAGATGGTTGTGAACCACCATGTGGTTGCTGGGAATTGAACTCAGGACCTCTAGAAGAGCAGTCAGGGCTCTTAGCCACTGAGCCATCTCTCCAGCCCTAGTGAAGACTCAACAACAGGACTTCAGCACTGCCTCACAGTGAGCTCAGCACTGCCCCCCCACACACAATGTGGTCTCCCCATGGGGGCAGGAGCCTGTGAAAAGCTGCTTTGATTCTGAGCTAACCCAAGCCCACTATGACATTCCCAGGAGTGGTCAAGGCATCCCAGGTTACCAGGAACCATCCGAATGGCTTCCACTGAGTCAGGAGAGGGCAATGCACTGTCGCTGGTACAGCATGCATTTCTCATGGAACCTGGCAACTTTTTCTAATAAAAACCAAGATCAACAGAAAAGAAAAGCTCCAATAGGATCCTAGGTGATCCTCAGACATCTACAGAGGCCTTGTGAGCAAACCCAATTCTTGCCCAGCAGACAGAAGCCTGAGACTAATTTCCTGGCTACCACATAGGTCATAAGGCATAATATATACAATTAAACATTTCTCTAAACAGCCCTTTAAATTAAAAGGCAGAGAAAGTATCCATGATGCATTGGGAAAGGCTTCTCATTTCTTGAATTTAAGATATTATTTAAAAAAGACTTTGGTGGTAGTTTTAGAATCCAGGGCCTCCCCACATACTAAGTTTGTGTTCTACTCCTGAGTTTTACCTCTACCCTATGATGTGTGTATGTGTGTGTGTGTATCTATGTATGAATGTATAATGTATATACACACACATAAACATATGCATATACATGCATGCATCCATTTGTTTTTACTTATATGAATGTGTGTGTGCATGAATGAGTTCGTGTGTATTCTGTATGTGAAGGAGTCCTGTGAAGCTATCAGACCATCAGAACTGATTTACAGGCAGCTGTGAGCTGCCTGATGTTGGTGCTGGGAACTGTAGCTGGGTCTTCTGGAAGAACAGTGTTCTTAACTGATGAGCTATCTCTCCAGTTCTCAACATCAGACTGTTTTTTGACAATGAGAATCTGGCTTTGAGGGGAGGCCTGATAGCCAGTCTTAGGTAAAGTAAGGAACATTCTTGCCTGAAACTCAAGCAGAGACTGAACTGTTTTTCCTGGGGGTTGGGGGCACCACTGGGGACCATAAGCATGCTAAAGAAACACTCTTCCGCCGAGCCACACCCTCTGCCCCAAGTCTTAGCTTCAGATAAAAACCTTTAAGAGGCCTTGTCTCCTACCTCAAACCATGGAAGCCTACAGGTAGGAAAGCCCCAGCCGTAAGTCAGACCTAGTGCCTCCCTGCAGCCAGTCCCAGGTCCCCGCGCAGGCGCCCTCGTCCGTCCCCCTCGTCCATCCCCCTCGTCCATCCCCGGCCACCGCGCAGGCGCAGAGGCTGCGCTCACCCGAGGCAGCTGGTCCCACTGTTCTTTGTTCTTCATCTCCTCTTGCACTTCATGGATCCGCTTCAGAGACTCCAGACTTTCGTCCAGTAAAAAGGTCGTGTCATTTATCAGCATATTGATATACCGAACGAACTGTTTTCCAGAACTGAAAGGGCAATGAGACGGTGTGGTAAACATCTGGCTGGACACTGAGAACGTGAGCCTCCCCAGGTTATCAACCAGACTTCCTGTGACACAGGAATCTTGTCACAGACGACTTAGCTGGAGTTTAAGGACTACCAATCAATTCCCTCCTTAGATTTTGTTACTCTTTTTGGTGGTTGGTTTGTTTTGAGAAAGGTCTTCCTCCTACCTACTTTCCTGCCTCAGCATCACAGAGCTGGGATAACGGACAGGTACCTCCAAGCCTACTACTCTTTTCAGCTCCCTGTGACGAGCTCATTCTAGTGGCATGTGGGACCAGTAGGAGCCAGAGGATAAACAGTCCAGACTTTCCTGAACTGATTTCCTTGGTAGTTTACTTCTGGCAACAATTTACATAGTTACACAGTGAAAAAGTAGCAAATGCTGAAATTCTTCCTGCTGGAGAGGTTCACAGCACAGAGCTGTGTGCTTTTAAGTAGAGGAAACACTCTTCCAGGCTGGAAAAGGACCAGCACCAAGAATTACCCAAACACAGACGACGGAGATTACTGATAAAGTTATCCCTTTCACAAGGAATATACACTGATGGAAGGTAGGAACCCATTCTCTAGACCCATTGCTTCAAGTCTAAGGGGACCCTGCTGACAGCTGTAATGAAGGCACTTACTGGTGAACTGTGAACTTCTAAAACTGACAGATTCATGGCAAAAAGGGAAGGCCCAGTGTACTCAGCAGGTGTACCTAGGGGTGTAAACCCCACGCTGGGACGAGAGGGGCCCATGTACAGGAACAGAAGGCCTCAGTCTCTGGACTGTAGGGACACCAGGACTTCCATTTTCCAAAAGTAGTGTGGACAGAGTCAGTTCACACTGCTGGCAACATTGAGTTAACACAGGACAGCTAGACCGATAGAAGATCTGGGATGGAACGGGGACATCCTCTGAAGGGTAACACAAGGGTTCAATGTTCACACTCATCTTTCCTTAGTACTCGAAAATAATGTAGAGGAATGACTACTGACCAGGCTTACATGGGCCCTGCAATTTCAAGCTTGTACATGGAGAGTTACTGACAGGGCTTGGCACATAAGCATAGCAAATGAATTAAGTGGCAACTGTAACCTAAGTGCTTCTAAACCTCATGTTTTCTTAACATTTCTGAGTCAGTAAGATAACATCACTTAATAGGATATAATTCAGAGAAAACACATAAATCACTTCACAAATGCATTTTTCTAGAATATTCCCCCAGGTAAGCCACTCCCAGTGTCAACAACTGTAAAGTTAAGCAGACGGTTGCGGTTGCGTAGCTGTCCATGCTGAGCAGCGCCTTGGGGCTGTTTGAGAAAGGTGGAAAGCAAGGAAACAGCCACAGGAACCCGCTGCACAGGCCTGCTGCCTCCTCCCTGTGATTTGCCAGAGACAAACTGTGCCATCAGGGCCCGGTACTCACTTGAACTCCTCCATGAAGGTGCCGTGGTGAGCTATGTTTTGCCAAAGGCTTTTAAAAATAGTGCTGATGTGATAGCGAATTGTGAACTTGTCATAGAACTCGCTGGTGGCTCCAGTATGCTCGACATCTAAGGAAGAAAGACAAAGGGGCTCAGACACATCCTCTCCGACCTTCCAGAAGCAGTGACAGGGCAGCACAACAGAGCTGGGGAAGTGCTGCTTCTATCTCAGACGGAAGGCACAGGAGAAATTGTGAGTTAATTTTTCTTTTCTTTTTTAAAGACTGGGTGTCATGATATAGCCCTGGACAGTCTGGAGTCAGAGAGAGTTATTCACCTTCCAGAGTGCCTTGGTTAATGTGCCCTTTCCCCTCACAATCTAATTTTAAAGACCAAGGTTTCACGGTAAAACTCTGCAATGGGTACAACATCGGCAAGGATGTGCTAGGAAGCCAACATCTTTAGGACACTGTGACTCCCGCATCTGTTCCCGTTGTCAGCTATTAACTTAAGTAAGGTCCCCAGCGGCTCACATGTGCATCTCTGAGCAGAAAAAAGAACTAGGCTCAATTTTCTATGTACCTTGTACCTCACTGTCATTTTAAGTGCTTTTGTACCAGACATGTTTTTCAAGCACAACCTAAAGAAGAGAGATGTACACTGACAGCCCACACTCATGGCTCACATACCCACCACCAGCAGCCCTTAACGCTGAGAGAAAAACTAAACTTGGTTATGCAAATGGATAACAGCATAAGCATGAGAAGTTCCAAATTTATTACAAAAAAAAAAAGAAAAACTGTCAGGTAAAGACAGTTACAGCTTAACAAAGACATAAAGGGAATTAAAACGAGCTAGCTTTTTAGCATAGCATAGCTGTTACTGGCTGAACAGAGATGAGGAGTCAGGAGAACAGGCACACTGCACGTGACTCTGTCTCTGAAGACAACTCGGTAGTGGGTGTGTGGCTCGTGCCTGTTATCCCTGCACTGAGAGGTCACTCTGGGTACATGATAAAGTGTCTTAACTATAACAAGCCACATCCATCAACAATTTTGCAAACAGCAGGACAGCAATTAGTAAGCCTTCCACTGGCCTATCAATTCTGCTCAAGAAAATGCCCATGGGATGTCCAAAGACTGAGTTCCAAGCATGACAAACAAAATACTTCATTTATTTTTATTTTTGCAATAATGGGAATTGAACCTAGGGCCTTGGGATGCTAGGCCACTGCTCTACCACTGCACCACACGGAAGTACTGTTTTTGACTAGAAAAATTATTAATAATCAATCCAAATGTCTAAGTCAAACTTGCTTTCTGCACATTAGCTGAAAAGCACCGTTATGTATGCAGGACAGTGGGGTATATATTCACCTTTAATCCAGCACACTGGAGGCAGAGGCAAGTGGGTCTCTGAGTTTGAGGCCAGCCTGATCTATAGAGCAAGCTCCAGGACAGCCAGAGCTACACTCAAAACCACAAATACGAAGATAATCGTACAGCTTGGATATAATGACAGCTTTTTAAAAAGCAACTGACAGCCATCAATATGGTTCAGTAAGAAGAAACGCTTGCCATAAGCCTGAAGATCTGGGTTCAATCCTCAGGACCCACATGCTGGAGGGACAGAAATGACATCTATTCATGCAAGACTCCTATACACATAAGCGCGTGCACGCGCACACACACACACACAAATATAAAACAAATATAAAACCTACCACAGATATAAAGTAAATATTACACAGGCTCTGACACACAGATGCTGCTCTGGGACATTTATACCCTGCAGGGTGCTGTCTGTCGCAGTGCTGTGGGTTGGACATTTATACTCTGCTGGGTGCTGTCCTTTGCAGTGCTGTGGGTTGAACCCAGAGCCTGGTACACAATCGCATAAGCTCCCTTAACCAACTCCCGCCTTTTTTCATATTTTCTATATTTTCCAAAGTCTACACTTTGGGAGATGAAAACCCAGTTGTTTAATAATAAAAGAAAAAGTCTAGAAAGTTCCTAGCATGCTAAGACCTGACAGCACTTATGTAGACTTGTTAAGCCGACTCTTCTTTGGATGACCTAAGTGCTATCTTACTATGTAACAGCGTGGACACAGGTGTCAGCAGCGACTTGAGCAAAGCCTGCAGAGGGCAAGAAACTGGAGGCAGCACAGCCACACTGTCATCTATGGCTGCCCTACTGTGGGCAGCATCCCATCACACCCCACACTAAGCCACTAGTGTCAGCCCAGTGCCCATCAGTACCCTGTCCCCACACTTCTGCTTTATTTGCTCCTAAATGTCCCTCAAAATCATACTGCTCAGAGAGGGGGGTGGGGGGAAGGAGAGATCCTCCTGACTCAGTCTCCTGACCACTGGGACTAAAGATGTGCACCACCATGCCCAGCTTGAACAGCCTTCCTGCTGCCATCTTCCAGTCTCACCTCACCGTCTTCTTTTTCTGTCATCCTCGGCTGAGAGCGACTGATGCTCACGCCTCTATCTCTCCCACAGAGCCCTGCCTAGACCACCTTCTGTGAAGTACCCCATTTTCTCCCACATCGACTGTCCCGTCTGCCTCCATGAGGATCCTGGCGTCCTCCCACAGTAGGCCCCACACAGACATCTGCTGACTTAGTCTTGGAGTCTGCCCTGCCTCCTGCCCCTGTGCCGCCAGTCAGCTCTGGGGAAGGAGGAGCCTGGAAGTAAGTCTTGATATAGCCATAGCCTTTGGAGCCTCAGAATTCTTCCTTAAGGAAGAGTGATAGGATTCATCTAAAACCCTCTTATTTTGAAGTCTAATTTTTATTTTTGAAACAAGATTGTGCGAAAGTACCCCCATGCTCCATGGCCGGAGAGATGCTGGTCCCTGCAGTTGACCTTGGGATATACAACTCTAAGTCCTATCTTAGGGGCAGCCTACTGAGAGACAGGCTCTACCGGGCAGATCTCGGTGGGGTGCTGGGCAGGCCGTGGGAGACTGGGAAGCTTCTGCAGGGTCTCTAGTAACCACGGCAGAATGGCAGAGCAGTCAGACACACTTGTGCTAGCATGCAGCTGCCGCGCACCTGTAACTCACTAGCCATTAACCTTCAACAAGCTTCCTGACCTTTCCAAGCTCCAGTTTCCTCACTTATAAAATGGAGGTATTTATAGTACCATCTTTTTGACAGCTACTCGGATCAAGTAACCACAAGTGGCAACTATTATTAGGAAAGGTTCATCTACCCATGACTATGGAGGGGCTCAGGCCAGAGGGCACTGTGCTCCATGATAGAAAGAAAGGGTGGATGATATCCACCCACATGCTCTTCAGGCACGCCAGTGTGGGGGCGCTCTCTCTCTCTCTCTCTCTCTCTCTCTCTCTCACACACACACACACACACACACTTTTTATAGCTTTTTTTTTTTTTTTTTTACTTATTTATTTATTATATGTAAGTACACTGTAGCTGTCTTCAGACACCCCACAAGAGGGCATCAGATATCATTGCAGATGGTTGTGAGCCACCATGTGGTTGCTGGGATTTGAACTCAGGACCTCTGGAAGAGCAGTCAGTGCTCTTAACCACTGAGCCATCTCACCAGCCCACACACACACTTTTTATGAAGCTACAGTAACAGGTCCAAACCACCAACTGAATACTAATTACATTTAACAAAAACATATATTTTTTTAATATTAACACATACCTCCTGTGGAATGTGGCTATTACTTGGATTTTTCACTACATTTTCTGTTGTCGTTTTTGAGATAGGGTCTCACTAAGTATCTCTGACTGGCCTGGAACGCCTGATATATATCAGGCTGGTCTCTGCCCTACAGTGTGTAATATACCATATTGCTCCTTTGTACCTAAATATCCTGAGCTCATCCCAAGCATGGCTAGGAGACAGACCAATGGACTTCCTCCGCAAAAGATGTACAGGTGCACTGGACTGTCTCCAAAGAAAGGATGTTATCAAAGTATTTAAGACAGCAAGTGCTCACGTCAGACATGAGAGTCTAAGTAGGCTGAGGAAGAAACATCAGATATAAGAGAGAGAAACTTATCAGATGTAACAAAGTAACAGTGACACAGGGAAAAGTAGGTAGCCTTAAAAGGTGGGAGAAATGCTAACACTGAGTCCAAACAGGCAGAGGGAATCTACCGTCCATGAACACTGGGAATCCTCAAAGAGGTCATCCCTGTCAACAGCAACAGGCTGTATTTTCTGTAGAGCTCAGCAAGGTCTACTAAATGCCAGACACTTGACTGTGTGGCCAGGAAGTGCCAGATTCTAAAGATGAGATGCATTCCGAGGAACCCATAAACCAGAAACTTCCACTAGCACAGTATCGTGCCTTTGTTAGCAGACAGATTAACCTGACAGTTCAAAAGTCAAAGTTCAAACAGTCAAAATGTGGATTCAATCTGACTAGAAGAGGAGGCTCTCCTTGAAGCACATTTTCCAGGCCCCGTCATTTCCAAGTGTGATTGAGCACAGCACACAATACCCAGCAAATGTCCAGAGCTCAGGAAATGGAACACACTAACGGATATGGGAAGACTCCAGAGGACCCCAGAATGGTCATCTTGCTGGCTCGGGTGAAACCCAATAATAAACTTTTTGTTGTTGCTTTTTTTTTTTTCTTTTCAGAAACTGAAGCTAGCCTCAAACTTGCTGTGGTAGTCAAGGATGACCTAGAATGTTTGTATCAAACTTTCTATTGTTCCTACTCTTTGAAAACTTGACTACAGGATGGTGTCATAATCAGCCGCTGTAAACTCAACAGCAAATGAACCAGGTTAACAACTCAGATGAAAACATCAGCTTGGACTAACAACAACAGTGGAAACCATCAGGAGCCCGCACAGGCAGCGGCCAACATGAGCTCTCAGGGGCAGGGGAGAAGACAGGCAGCAGCCTGTGCTCTGAGCTGGGGCTGGGAAGTGATTTGCAGAAGCGGGTGATGGCAGGATTATTTATCTATTTGTGGATTTAGGTCACAGATTTAGATTTATGTTCTCTCTGAAACAACCTTGTCTCAAGTCAAATTACCACATACAAGGCACACTCTGAAACCTACCTGTATAGAACTTCATGAGGGAAGGTACCAGCAATTTGGTAGAGAGAGGATGGTTCTCAATCATCTCAAAAAACTTCTGAGTTCTCGGCTGAACAGAGGGGTTGGTCATAAACATGACCTCCACCAGCTTGGCCACCAGGTAAGGGTTCCGGATGTAGTTCTGGTTGCACAGCATGACAACGAGGAACATCACAATGTCCTGAGTGCAGGGCTCATACAGCACCTGAGGAGAGTATCTGGAAAGGCACAAGCATGCGGTGAGTGCTCCGCAGGCAGGGAAGGGGACTCACAACAGAGGAGGAAGATACTGGAGTGCATGGTTCAAAACGATGTGAACACTGGAACCTCACAGATTTAAAGTAAACCTGAGTGTTGGCTGTACTATGCTTTAGAAAGTAAGCAAAGGCAGTAACTGAAACTTCACAAAAAGATCTTCACTATCCAAAAGTGGGGGTTTTGTTTATTTATGTTAAAAGATAGGATCTTTTAAATAGCTCCAACTGGCCTCAAATTTACTATATAGCTTACACTGGCTTTGAACTTGTTATCTTTTGCCTCTCTCTACTTCCCAAGTACTGGTATTATGGGAATGCATGACCACGCCCAGCTTTACAATAGACAACCTGAGTTTCATCTCTAGGACCCAACAGTTAGCAGGAGAGAAACAATTCCCACAAACTGCCTTCTGACCTTCACAGGAGCTCTGAGGCACTCAAGGACCCCATGCACACACAAATAAATACATGTCGTTAATTTTTTTTAGCCAGGCAGTGGTGGCATCCACCTTTAATCCCACCACTAGGGAGTTAGAGGCAGGTGGATCTCAGAGTTTGAGGCCAGTCTGATCTACAGAGTGATGAGTTCCAGGACAGCCAGAGCTATACAGAGAAACCCTGTCTCAACCACCTCCCGATCTTTGTAAATGAGTCCTGTCTGTCTGTACACCTGCATGCCAGCAGAGGGCATCGGATCCTGGGATGCATGGCTGTGAGCCACTGTGTGGTTTGCAAATGAGTGCTGTCTGTCTGTACACCTGCATGCCAGCAGAGGG